AAATACTCATTTACCGCTCCTAAAATCCTATCCATTTTATGAATAGCTCTATCTAAATTCATATCGCTACACATAAGCAACGTATCATCAGCAAATAGGTTTATGAACTCAGATTCAATAAAAAGTTCAATATCGTTCAAATATAAAACAAAAAGAAGTGGGCCCAGAACGCTACCTTGGGGAACACCTACATCAATGTCTTTTTCATTTGATAGTGCATTTTTAAAACTGACTTTCTGTTTTCTATTGTTTAAATAATCACTGAACCATTCTAACACCTTTCCATCAATCCCATACTGAGCCAATTTCAACATAATTTCTCTATCAATTGTGTCAAAAGCTCTGCAAAAGCAATAACATATTTCTGGTTATCCAAGTTAGTTTTAATATTACATATTGTGAGCTGTAATGCTGTTTCACATGAGAAGTTTTTACGGAACAACAACAATAACAGAAAAAAACGATTTTCGAAAAGAAAGACCATCTGAAACAAATGTTCCAGATTTAGAGAAATAGTCCAAGGACAAAGTTGTGGCGTTCGTCATCTTCAAATTCTTCACGGCCATTTTGGAGACGCTTATACAACTCGTAAACTCTTGTTTTACTCGTAGCAGACTCACCATAGGCGTTTTTTAACATTTCACACCCTTTGTTACACTTTATTTAACTTTTTAAGCAAAATTTGATACGATGTCTTTGATCCATTTGTTTGTACGTCAAATTTTTTCGTTTATAGATTCATTGAAAAACCTGCTTTACCTCCCGTATTCTTAGAAATTTTGGTGAATAATAATAATAATAATGATATATGAACTGCGCCACCCGATAACCCCGGATGACGTTCGAAGAGCCCTTGTGGGTTCCAAGAACTTTGCTGCTCCAGGCCCAGATGGGCTGAACACTTATTGGTGGAAAAAACTACCAAGCACCCACCGCCATCTGGCCAGAGTTTTCAACTCATGGCTGGGCGGAGAGCAGCCGATTCCGGATTGGTTTGTCGAGGGGCGAACCGTTCTTATCCCCAAAAGCAGAGATTTGTCGATTCCTAAGAATTACAGACCGATAACGTGGTTACATAACGTGTTTACAAGTATCTTATACACACGAATACTCACCGCAGTTGACCGAGTGTTCGAACGGATATATGAGCAGAGAGGGTCGAAGAGAGGAGTCGCTGGATGTAAAGAGAACCTGCTTATCGATAGATGTGTAACGCAGGACTCGATACATTATAAGCGTAACCTCTCTATGGCCTGGATCGATTACCATAAGGCATTTGATACAATTTCGCATGAGCTAATCTTGCATTTGCTCAGATGCCTTGCGGTACCCGACAAAATAGTTAGATGCATTGAATAACTGATACCACTTTGGCGAGCTCGCTTCACCATAACATCTGGTCAAGCAAAAGTCCAAACGGGGTGGGTCACTTTCAGAAGGGGTGTATTTCAGGGTGATTCCCTCAGTCCCCTTCTCTTCTGCATATCACTATTGCCATTATCCGTTGCGCTCAGAAACACTCGAGGGTATAACTGTGACACCCCCGGAAACCGGAGGCACAAGGTCACCCATTTGTTCTATATGGATGAACTTGAACTTCATGCCTGTGGAGAGAAGGATCTCCATCAGTCCTTGAGGGTGGTGGAAGAATACACGCATGCTATCGGTATGAAATTCGGGATAGACAAATGTGCAATGGTCCATCTCAAAAGAGGACGATGCGGGGACTACGGAGAGGATGTGCAACATGTACTAACAGCACATCGTGTTTCTTTTTACAGGGAGTTTTGGGTTTCTACAAAGGAATAACGGCTTCCTACATGGGAATATCCGAAACGATCATCCACTTCGTGATATACGAGGCGATAAAAGCCGAACTGATAGCGCACCGGTCGCACAGCGACGAGAAGAGTTCGAAAGACTTCCTTGAGTTCATGATGGCGGGGGCCATCTCGAAAACGGTCGCTTCCTGCATCGCTTACCCCCACGAAGTGGCACGTACGCGCTTGAGGGAGGAGGGCAACAAGTATAGCGCCTTTTGGCAAACCCTAGGTCTAGTATTTAAAGAGGAAGGTATCAGGGGGATCTACAGGGGGCTGGCGACGCAACTGGTCAGGCAAATACCGAATACGGCCATCATGATGTCCACTTACGAGGCTGTGGTTTACATCCTAACGACAAAGTTCAACACGGAATTTTATGGGAACGAGGAGGGGCAGTGACTCGAATTAAGTTAGGTGTGTCTGTCCACTTCTTTGAAAACCAGATTTGATTTTATTGTGAATGTTTTTGCGTGGTTACTGTCGGGCAGAAGGGGGCGTACTGATTTATTTTTGGTATAGATTTTTTTGGTTTCGCGGCGCGATTTTTGGCAAACAAATATTCCTTGTTGTCTGCTCTGGCAGGATAGACATAGCGCAAGAGTCATTTTTGCCGCGCACTTAGTGAATACGATTCAATATTGATTCTTATAGATTCGAATTCGTTGGTAAATATATTATTGACACTTATGTTGTATTTCATTTCCGTGATGCAGGGCCCTACGTTTTGTTGTTTTTTCATGGTTTCACAGTGAATTCTTGATTTTTATTTTTTTACAGTTCGTTTACTATGAAAGTAGTAACCCCTAGTTTATAAAAAGCAAAGTAACGAGGTAAGGTAAAGTAAGAAAGTTGAATCAATGAGAAAACACACTTGTGTTCTAGATAAAAAGTAAGGTAAGGTAACGTCGGTAAGGCAAGGTAACGCAAGGTAACAAGTTGGCTATTTTCAACTTTCTGTGTTGCGTTCTTACCTCCGACCAATCAGAAAGCGCCATACTACGAACTTTGACCGATATATCCGAATGGTGTAAAGGTAATGTCACCAGATAAACTTGAACGTCACATTGTGAAATTTGAATTTCTTTTGAGGGATATAAATACAAAAATTGCCGCGATCGGGTCAATAGTAAGTGTGTATCTTTTACTCAAGAGAAAGAAATGAAAAAGGAGGAAGTTTAATGTTAGACCCATTCTGAGAAGCAGAAAGACTCGGGGGCAATTTCAGTTATTTAAAAGAATGAAAAATGATGGAGGATCAATTTTTGTGTGCAGAAGAATGAACAGAAAATATGTTTTGAACATTTAGTGAAATTAATTGTCAGCGCCTTCATTGTTAAAAAAAAGATATGGATCGATACGTCCAGAAGAGAAACTGGCTATAACACTCCGGTAAAGTGAATTTTTGAAATTGACAATATGTATCTAACAAAAAAAATTCAGCTATTTATCGCAAGAAACTTCGCAACACTCAGTAGCATGGGCATACCATTTGGGAAAGACCACAATCCATAAAATTATTAAGGAAATTTGCGGTGTTCTGCGGAAAATTTTAGCCCTAATATATCTTAAACCACCAACGACTGAAGCCGAGTGGCTGAACATTGAAAAGGGATATCGAGAAAAATGGAATATACCGCATTGTCTCGGTGCTGAATAATTCTCTCATATCAGTTGCTTCGGTACCAGACTTTCCGCAATGAGCCACTTCTTTTTTTTCTTTGGTATATCTCTCTCTTAAAACTTTATATCGCCTTTGACATTACTCTTCTGGTAGCCCTACTATTTTGGCAATCACCTGTGATGGCTTCTCCTTCATTAATTTGTTTTTAAAATTTCTTTTTCATCATAAATTATTGGGTATTGTTCTATTAAATCAGCTGGACTTAATATTGTTCTGTCCATATACTCTGCTCCGGTGTTTAAGCATTATTTTATAGTTTATATTTGTTAATTGTCCCTTATACATGTTTTACTTTACTAAACTTTGCCAATAAGATATTTATATCTTGGGTAATAAAGCATATTTTGATTTGATTTGATTTGAAGGAAATTTGCGGTGTTCTGTGGAAAATTTTAGCCCCAATATATCTTGAACCACCAACGACTGAAGCCGAGTAGCTCATATCAGTTGCTTCGGTACCAGACTTTCCGCAATGAACCACTTATTTTTTCTTTGGTATATCTCTCTCTTAAAACTTTATATCGCCTTTGACATTACTCTTCTGGTAGCCCTACTATTTTGGCAATCACATGTGATGCCTTCTCCTTCATTAATTTGTTTTTAAAATTCCTATCTTTTCTATCACAAATTATTGGGTATTGTTCTATTAATGATATAAAATATGTGTCTTCCATAATATTATAGAAATGAAAGTTATTATTTATTTCATATGAATGATTGATGCTGTCAAGATTATGGAAATGGAATGTCAATATTTGTTCATGCATTCCTGCCAACCCAAAAATTACCAAAATCTATAATCACTATGGCAATTCTTCATACTTTATTTTTTCGTGAACATCAAAAAATGGATACCATACCTTATCTTACCTTGCATTATTATAAACTAGGGGTAAGGGTAAGTATGTGGTATCATTTTCATTTCACTATTTTTGGTGTCAATTGAATTGATAGCTATGAACAATAGCTTCGTGTTGTAATAGCAAATTATTGATATGAGGGTTGCCTTTTATATTTCAGGATTAGAGAACAAAAATTAATTTATTTATTTATGTGATTACAAGGCAAGCCCAATTCAGATATAAGTAGTACAGTGCTAACGATGCAATACAGTGAATTAAAAGTAAGTTATAACAATAATACGATTCCTAAGTAAGATAACAAATATATTATTTAAGAAAAAATTGAAATGTATAACAATATGAACTAATATAATTCTTACAGGCAAGTAACACTAGACACAATACAACAACACAAGCAGAGGGTATTAGATGGCTAAGTGAAGAATATGGTTTTTAAAGCGGGATACTGATATATTAAAGATTTGAAGGTTATTTACAGAGTAAGCCAATCGAAGAGTTCTGAGAATAAAGCCGTTATACAGGGTGTTCCTTAAACATATGCTAATATTTAAGGAGGCAATTCTTAGACCCATTTTAAGGAAAAAAC